CGAGCTCTCGAAGAGCTTTTCTCATGAAACAGCATTCAATTTACGGAAGGTCCCATACCACCAAAATCGGGACAATTAATGGGCAAACAAGAAAAATATGCTCTTGGGACCTTCCGTAAATTCAATGTTGTTTCATGAAAAAAGTTCTTAGAGAGCTCGAAGACGTCTCATTTTGTCCAGAAATCTTTGCTCTATTCGAATAAACTAATGGTAAAAAGTTCAATTATATTTGTACACAAGAAAGTCAATAAATACACAGGGGGTAAGTTTTTTTTGGATCACCCTATATAATAGTAGATTCTATTTTGATTTATACTCAATTTTATCATAATTTTGTTTTCTAGTGTTCACGATGATTATTCAAAAGTTGAAGACTTGTATATTCGTAACCACGATATTTTTGAATTTATTTATTGTCGTTTTCCAAATGTTTTATCGTTAACGATTGCTAATAGTACTTTTAGAAGTCAAACAATTGTTCAAGATTTATCAAAATTAGTCAAATTATCTCAAATTAAACATTTGGATATATTCGATCAGATTGATTGGTGTACAGCATCTAAATTAATTTCATCATTACCTAAACTAGAATCATTGACTATAACTTTTAAAGATTTAGCTATTATTCTTAGTTATACACAACTCTATTTACATTTGGCACAAATTCGTAAAGTAGTTATTGATCGTTTTCCATTTAAAGCAGGACCTTTAGTCAATACATTTTGTAGAGTATTTTATAAATTAATTCAACTTGAACTTGATATTAATTCTTTCGAGGATTTTGAACAGATTATACCGGTCATATTAAGACGCTTAAGAAACCTACAATACCTGACCATTTCACTTCGTAAACACAAACAGTGCTTTAGAACCGTATATCATTTTCAGAAATGGTTGAGATATAATACAACACTAAACAATTTTCGCGTAGATATTGATCAAAAAGGGTTATATATTTGGACAGGTTAAGCCTCTCCTTATACAGTGCGCATTTAGACGGATATTAAGTGAAAAAACAAAAGTCGACTTTACATCGATCCAATTAGTGATAAAGATACTTCGACACATGCTCGATTTGATGGCATAAAATATTTTTTTATAAAGTTTAAGTAGTGTGGAAAAACGTAGTGATCAAAATTTAGCCTGAAAACACCGATATCGATGAGAAACTTAATTTTTTACAAAACTAAACAGACTGTTTGTCAAATCCAACATATATTCTGAATCTGCACATGGCACATGCACATTTTTATCTATTAGTAAAAATATTTAGTAATTTGAACTTACGGCTTTTGGGAAAAAAATTAAAAATTTTCTAAAGTGATTTTCCGAAGGACTATGTTTAGTAAAATGAGTTCTATCCATCCACATCCAGCCTCTTCGTCCAAACTTTACCAAAATATTCTTCTAGCTACCCTTTACCATCGCTGCTAGCGCAAACGTTCCTTGATAGCACAATAAGTTTTCCAAAAAATCCTTGATTTTTCAGGCGTTTTCTGTTCTTCTTGGTTCTGAAACCGTTTTATTCAACAAAAAATGACATATTTGGAATCAGCGTATAAAACTGTGTAGTTATACACAGTTCAAGTTTCAACAGATAATTATTCTGTTGAAAATTTTTTGAGAAAATCCTACCAGTGTATCGGTGTGTATACGCTATTAGCAGCAGACCATGACCCATAAAACGATAAATAATTGCAATAAAAAAGTTGAAAATAAATGAACTTGAAAACATGCTCTTTTTTTGAATGGTGTCAGAGTTTTGTAGTACCTTCACATAAGATTTTCCAGATGTGTTCAAATAAGACTGTAATGGAATTTCAGATGTACTGAATCTGCCCGTGGCACTGGAAACCATATTTTTCCGGTTTTGTGGCTGATTTCTAGAAATCTGGAAGGATTTTTAGTGAGCGAGGCACAGCGTGTGATGTCTTAGGTATCCTCCCCTTGCTATGGCAAAAATGCACACTGTGTCCCGCCCTCGTCTACATTAGAAACGTATCTTGGTAATCATAGGTCTGATCTAGATAAAAATATCAGCGAACAGTGATCTTACGATTGCACACTTTCGATAAAGTTCTGAAGACGCCACCTATCATCGTTTCGGAGATGCCACTCAATTAGAAGTCAAAATGGCGCTATCCGTTGCTACACGATTTCTCAGTAACGGAACGGCGTGGAGAGCACGGGACGATCTTAACACAACGAAAACACATATGAATTGAGCCTGACAGAGCCCGATTTTTGATATTTTACTTTGTCGATTGACGAGAGACTTGATTTTAGCATCCTTAGAAAAATACTCCTGACTGGGAAAATGGATAGAAACTCAGAAATTATGCTCTATTAGCCTTTAGCTACACATGTGGCCTTCAATTTGAGCCCAGCTCGAGCTCACTTAATTTGACAGAAAAATTCTGCGTATACAAAATGCTGTACAGTGCTTCGAGATACGGTGGTACCAGTGTCTGATGTCATATCGCTTGATGAAGACCAAATAACTTTGAATCCTAGTAGTAGATCCAGGTGCTATCCGATGGCGTGCTTAGCTTAATATTGATTTTTTATAAAAAGAAATTTTGTATGTATAATGAGGGAGGAGAAGGTTAAGAGATGATATGTTGATCTCTCTTTTGTTGTGCATGTATCCAAACTAGTTTTGACTTTAGCTTTTTGTTATCGCAAAATGTATTTAGTTCTTCTAATTGAATTTCTGTGACTTTACGTGACAGCAAAAGAATGTACTTACAGTAAAGTCTCTCCATTGTGAACACCATCGGGACTTTTCAAAAGTGTTCACTACAGGCTGATGTTCAGTTTAGAGAGATGATGCATGTTTTGCTGTGAAATGAAGAAAAAGTTTTAGAATGTCTGCTTCTATACTAGTTCTGAATTAAGTAGGAGCTTCTATTGTTCATCTCTTTTCATTTAAATGTATTTGAATTGAAATATTTTTCAATTACAACACAAAATTTAATTTTTTTAAGAAAATTCTCTAATGTTGCTTGTCTTTTTGTTTTTGAATTAGTATAAACATCAGTTAATTTTGATTCTAATCCATTAATTAATTGATGTAATTGTGGTTGTTGTCTTATGGCTAATAAACGAAGTTTTGTATCATTTCTATTGCTTCCATTATTTTTCGTTAAGGTTGTGTTAATATATGACTATTATTTAAAAACTCATTCTTTATTAAACATAATAATATTGACCGTAAAGACCGTGAAACGGATGAGGAAGCAAATTAATAGTTTTCTTCTTCCTTTCCAGCATTTCTGTCTTCTATTTCACGATCTCTCTGATGTTTTTTCTCTTTTTCACTTTTCTCTCATCATTTCTTTGTTCAATATATTTGTTTTCGTGGGACTTTTCCAATGCCTGTACATACAACAAGTATAAATACGATATTCACTTAACAGTTTGTTCATACATTTTCCAATTGTCTGAGCTCTGTACTAAAAAGAGAACACGAAATAACTATATTTAAATTAGTGTGGGACAGTTCCAGTTCCTAAAATTCTTGAGAACTAATGAAAAGAGCTGGTTAGCCGTTCTCGTTCTAAGAACAGGAACTGCTGAACGCTTGTTTCAAAAGAACGCGAACTGCTTACCAGTTCTTTTCAAGAATTCAAAATAAAATAAAACCGGTGAAGCACATTTACTTTGTTTAGTCCACTAAACGCATCATCTACCTTGGGCGCACTAAATAACGTCAATGTGGATAATAGTAAAACTTGAAGACACCCACAGGCACTTACAGACATCCACAGACAGCTACACAGACATGTATGAATGTCTGTGTATGGATGTCTGTGTATGGATGTGTGTGTAGCTGTCTGTGGTTGTATGTGTGCTATCTGTGTAGCTGTTTGTGTACTGTCTGTGGGTGTCTTTATGTTTTACTATTACCCCGTCAATGTGACTAGCTTTTATTTTATTTTGAATTCTTGAAAAGAATCGATAACCAGTTACCGTTCAAAAGAACTGAACTGGAAATGTCCCACCCCTAAATACGTTCCAGCCTATCAGAATAATGATCATTAACTAAACCTCTTCTTTCCAATTGATCCTGATGTTTCTTTTCTCGAGATAGAAGAAAAATGATAGATGAAAATGAGGAGAAAACCTTATCCATATGTTCAACTGTTTATTTCTCACAGCGAGTTAACAAATTTCCATGATGTTTCATCCATAGAACATCTTTCAACCGGAACATTTTGCAAGTTTACTCGTTTCTCGGCGTTGAAGGGTCTTTGGACTAATACATACTTGCAACTTGTCGAATACTACATTTAGCACATCACTATAAACACTTGTTGCTGCCAACACTCACCAGTGTGTATCGCCTTTTCATGCACAATTATATCATCCATTAAATAAGTAATATATGACACATTTTTCTAAAACACAAAAGCAACGTTCGTTTCGTCTCGTGAATCAACATCAACACTGACATCCTCAAATAGAAACGCAACAATATAACCCTGCCTTGTCTGTACCCTCTTCATTAGCTGATAATGATAAATTCCAAATGAATAGCGAATATCATGCAATATTCAAATGTGCATAGTTGTAGTGAATGTTCGTTATATTGTTAATCTAAGGGAAGATATGCCATTCATCCGTCTCTGATATCTCGTCACGATCATGAAGAAAATTCATTGTGTCAATGCTCATATTGACCTAGGCATGCAGCAATCCCAATCTAGGGCTCACTGATCGGTACTGAACGGTTTGTTACCAAACATATTCGGTCACCAAACGGTTCGCTGCCGATCAGCGAGTCCTAGATTGGGATTGTTGCATGCCTAGTCTGGACTAAAGACAAACAGGATGAAATTGAAGTTTTTGAAGGAACTAGCTAGTGAGAAAATAGACTAACTAAAGTGCAATGTGAACGAATGTGTGTTCTATCGGGGCGCCCCTAGAGAACGTACTTGATGCAAGTACTTAATTACTTGCTAAGTACTTGAAAAAATTGATAAATGATAAAAATACTTGCTTTTATTGCTAAGAAGTACTTTGGGAAAGTCTTTGGCAAGTAAGGGCTTTTTTATCACCTTAAATCGAAAAAAGCGTATTTAAAAAACGAAACGGTTTTTCTGTTCACCAAAAAACTAAAAAGTGTATTTTAGAAAGAGTCGAAGGTTTTATAGCTTTGGTCAAAACCAGAAGGGTTTGTTCCTGAGCGCATTTGGTTTAGAGAAACACCTTTTTTGTTTTTCCAAGTAGCGAAGGATTTTCCAGTTTGAGCAAAAAACCAAAAGGGTTTTTTAAAAAGTGTAATCGAACACTTTATATTTCGAAATCCACCAAACGATTTGTCTCAATGTCGGTGAACTCTTATGTAGCGATTTCTACATAAAGCAAGAGTGAAAATGAAAAACTTTTGATACGAGATCTCTCAAAATAAAGTGTTTCTTAAGGTAATTGACATACTGATTTCACCGTGTTTTACCCGGTTTTCTCTTTGGGAACATAATGCTTTAATTCTGCTTTAGAAACGTTAAAAAGCAGATATAGACTAATAAGAGGGTTTTGAATCAGCAGTTGTTCGGATAAGACAGGTTAGGACCGTTCGCCACTATCTATTTACATGAATACTATACCTACCAGAGATGGACGATGGACTATCTTTAGCTTCCGCGCAGGGAATCGCCCCGCAGACTTTCTGCCTCGTCATCACCTCGTAACTCGTCAAGTTTCGAGAAATCTACTTAGCGGGAATCGCCCCCGTAAGCTTTCTGTCCCGTCACCGCCTCGTCCATCGTCAACTATTATCTATCCGCATATACAGTGGCCGCGGTCATTTTTTTATAACTTTTTAACGAAACAAGATGAAGATCTGCGGCTTCCAGTGTCTTGTAGCTAGGATCTGACAATATCTAGTAGGATGAACTAGATATACACTTACACGAACGAAATAACATCATACATTTAGTCAGTCTAATGCACAATCAATTGAGCGC